ATGGATTTCCAGTTTTCCCAGCACCATTTGTTGAAGATGCTATCCTTCCTCCATTGCATGCTTTTAGCCCCTTTATCAAATATAAGAAAGTTGTAGCTTTGTGGGTTGGTTTCTGTCTCTATTCTGTACCATTGGTCCGCACGCCTAGTCTTTCACTCAAAAGTGAAAGGTGCAGTGGGGCACACCTGTAATCCCAGTGACTCGAGTAGCACAGGGGGGAGGATCACAAGTTCCAAGCCAGCCTCAGTGATTGAGCAAGGCCCTAAGCAACTTAGTGAGACCTTGTCTCAAAATGAAAAGGGCTGAGGATATGGCTCAGTGGTTAAGCATTCCTGGAATTAACCCCCCAGTACCAAAACCCAAACCAAACCAAAACAAAACTGTTGAAGAAGAATTTTGAAATACTAATAAACAAAATATTAATTCAGCCACTCTGCTATGTTCACAAAACTTTGAGAACAATTACAATCTTGTTTTGATTTTAACGAGTGTATGCATTGAAAAGAACTCAAGAAAAAATCCCTTTGTAAAAGTCTCTCCCCTTTAGAAAATTACTGCACTGGGTTTGTGACAGTGGACAGTTTGTGACAATGATGACCTAACAACCTTACCATCTGCCTGCTTCTGATGAGAAATTTATATGTATATAAAATTATTTTTCTTCTGAAGTGGATGTTAAAACATGCTGGGTCCATTAAGACCCACTGCTACTAGAACAAGCAGGTGAAAATGAAAGTCATCACTTCCTAATTTCCACAGAAGAGCAGACCTAAGATTCTCCAGGAAAAAAAAAAATCAGTGAGTTAGCAAAAAGCTGTGCATTTACTCCTTTTCTGGATATACCAATGTCCACTAAAAACACACTGAGAAATTCTATGTAAAGAATTGCATGTAACTGTTTGATCCAGCATATCATCAATGTTTGTATTTGTGGAAACTTTAAAAATTTTGTACCTGCCAAGTTAAAGCCAGCTACCCCACCTTTGAGTTAAGGAAATTCTAGATTGGAATTGATCTTAGCCATTGACTCCTGTGTCCCAATTGCCCTCCAGCTCAGGGCTGGCAGGCAATATGTAATTTGACAAAAAGGACATTCACTTGTTTTTATTTTGGGAAAACAAAAAATGCCAATTGCTTTTGTAATACTAATAGGGGATGGACAGACATGAGTGGAGAGAAAATGAGGTTAATGGGATAATTCTGTCA